GGTCCTTGCTCCGTACTCTGGGCCACCTCATTGCTTTCAAGAGGGAACCGATGGAGGACAAAGTCCTGCATACAACAGATTAATCAGTGGCAGCAAGAACACTGTCTGGAAGCTCTGAAGCTGGCATACCTAATAAGGTTCTTCCGCTAGGGATTTTCAAAATAAAACCACTGCGAAATTGGTCACGTTGGGGTGTAAAAGCCAAAGAAAATATTACAAATTTAGCAAAAAATTAATAATTATACATTGATTAAAAAAAGGAAAAAACACTCTTAATGTACAGAGAACACGCAGTAAAGACGTGTGTTGTCTTTATTCCTTTAATCTTAATGTTGTGATCAGTCATAGCAGTTTGTTTTTGAAAAAACGTTGGTCAACTCAGCGATTTCCTCTTTTTTGAGTTTGCAAAGACTACATTGACTTACTAATACGCAATAAATCTCATTGTTGTCAAATATAAAACATTAAACACTAACTTTTTCAATTTATTTATTTTTCTCTTATTGCTTTCCTTTTCAAGGCTTAACAGAGCTAAGAAAATCCTGCTATGTAATATATTTCATTCATTTTGTATTTGCATTACAGCTACCTACTGGGGCAAGCAGTTTTTTTTCTCCCGTTAGCCTACTGACTGCATGCAAAAAAGAAAGAAAACACAAGAATACAGAATTTGGAAAAGGTTATTTTAGATGATCAGACTCTTGCACTTTCTCTGGGCTCCATGTTTTCCTGGCTGATACTTAACACATTCTCTGCATTGCTTTGTTTCCGCATGGTCAAAGTTCCATTCATACTAAAATAGGGGGGCGTATCAGTCCAACGTTCCGGGAATGATTCCACACCACAAGTCGGCTCCTATTATTCTGTCCTTGCATATGTTGTAAGATGGATTGTACAGCTGTAGGTCCTGGCCAACTTCCTCACATAATCCCAAACAAGTGTCCATGTTTTGTTTTCATCTTTGATTATGGCATGTGTGTGCAAAAGACCAAGCAGGGAACGTGTGGAGTCACACTGTGGTGTGATTTTCAGTCATGGTCTTTGAAGATAACACGGACATAAATGATTGCGCCTTCATATCACAAGAGTCCTAGTGGTCCTTCAAGCACAACCCAGTCAGCATTTGCCTGCCTAACCCGTTAATAAAATAAATGACTCACTTGTACAATACAGTCATAGCAGTATTTGAGATTTAGAACTTTTCTCAAGTGATTTGTCATATGAAATGTGTTTGCATAAAGGCGTCTCCTTAAGAGCTAGAAAAAATAAAACGCTTCAAATCCAAAGGGTTTGGCCTTCAAGCGTTATCTAGTGGTTTGATATGATCATTTTTATGTGGTTACAAAGTGGGAATTATGGTTACACATTTGGACAGGAAGTCTGGCCTTCACTGACTTTTTTTACTGAAAGTAGTAAAAGTTAAAAATATATATTTATTGCTAAATTTGCTAAGTTTGAACCTGGTTTAATGAAGATTTTCCAAAACTAGCATTTAGGTGTTTTAGGCGTGTTCTTGTACATGGGGCTGGCTCTGCAGTTTAGTTAAAGAGGAGACAACTCTGTCAGTGGCAGCTTGTGTTTATAGAAAACACAGGAGGACAAACAGTTTCCTGGCAAACATTCATCGATGTTATGAAAGTCATTCTTGCTGGTAAAGTAGGATTCCATTTAATGCAACTCTGCTTTTTGACTTTTCTAGGTTCTAAACCACTGTTAAGGTACATATAGCCATAAAAGGCAATCTGGCATCTGTTTGCACAGCAAATTCTAAACTAAAATAGCAATGCTGCAGCTGCATAAAAGGCAAAATAAGCTAAACCATATATTAAATATATATTCTTTTAAAATACCAGAAACCAAACCTCCTATAAATTGCTGACAGCAAGGGGAAAAAAAAGAGCTAAAAAAAACGAGAGATGATTTTCTGTGAAGCAGCATCCACCTCATTTGGTTATCATAGTAATGCAGCATGCAGAAAAAACGTAGAGAGTGACAGCTCACTGAAGGGGTTACTCCAGGCTCTGAATGCAGATACTTTCCATAAAAAGCAGCAGCTACATTGTGTAGACAGAGCTGGTGTTGAAGGTGAACACTTCTCAGTCTCTTGCCAATCTCCCCTGTCTGGAACTAGACCAAGTTTTTCTGACAATGGGTGGATGCAGGAGCTTATCATCATCAAGTGCAAAACAAAAGACGAAGAAAAAAAAGGACGGAAGATTCGTGGAAAAGTGTAATCTAAAATAACCCTTGTGTTTGTCTGAATGAGCTGTCTGTGTGAGGGCATTAGCACAGTGGTGAATGGTCTGTTTGTCAGTGTTGGTGTATTTAGGCTCATGAATCTGAGTTAAAACAATGACACAGACAGTGTGGGGTCCCAACAGGAAGAGCTCAGGTGCAAATGATGGAGCTGATGATGGCTGGGTACTATTTGGCTTGATTAGTGTCAGGTCACAATCTATTTTTAGATTATCAACCAGAATTTTCAAATATGTTACTTTCATTTTACAAAAACAAGTGGACATTCAATAACACACAGTTGTACAGCACCATTAGCATTAGTTGTTGTATTAGACACCTGGCTACCTTTTAGTAATGCTAACTTTTTTAGTTAAATTATTAGCTATTTCCATCCATCATTTATTTGTTATTTGTTAAATTAAAGTGAGCTAATAATTAATGTCAAATTAACCACGTGTATAACCTGCTTCAACTAGAGTTAACGGTTAGCCAGTTCCTTAATGTTTACCTTCCTGGCTAAACTTATTATAATCAGCAATTTTATGTTATTTATCTTTTTGTTATTATTATTATTATCAGACTTGTGTTAATCATTTTCAATTCAAGCTCACTTACGTGAACCAATGTATTCTTTACTCCCTGTTGTATTTTGTAAATTTTTACCCTCTTACGTCAGGTCTCGTTATATATCCTGCCCTTGTGTTTTGCCAGGTCGTACCCACATCTGTTGCAGATTATTTTCACCTGTCTTCACTTTTTGTTTGTTTTGTGTGTGGTTCACCACTTTGTTTGTACCCAAGCATTCTCTCTTCTCTTGGAAACGTCTCTCATTTAGTCATCATTTACTCTTTAAAATTTTAATTAATCTTTCCCTTTCTAGTTTATCTTTTATGGTCAATGATACTTTCCACCTTGGAAAGGTGGAAAATATTACATTAAAAAATGCATCACTTTTACTGACTGGTTATATCCTTAAAGGCAAAAAGATGAACAGTAAACGAGTTAGCCATTTCAATAGAAAAACCTATTCAATGGCTCTTCAATGCAAAAAACTATTAAATGTTTAGCTGTAATTCAATTTACTTACTGACGTGTGCTACGGGTAAAACCTGCCAAACCAGCTGACCTCTACTAAGATGTGATAGAATAAAACAAGTGTCTGATATCAATATGAGTCAAAGGCTTAGAGAAATGACCAGAATATTCGTTATATGTATTCTTATAACGTTAGTGTTACAACTTAGACAGGACACTGCTTCCCCCTGCTGGCCAGACAATTAACAGAGCAGACGCTTAATAAAAAAAACCCCAGAATGACTAAAGTTGTCGGAGAAAAGGACATGGAAGCTATAGCAAGCCGTTTTTTCGCTATTATTGCAGGATTTTACACGTCAACAATTTAGCGTTTCAAAACTACCTAAATGCAAAGTCTTGAAACAGAATTTAGAATCTAGAATGCTAATTAATAAAGACACGACGCTTTCTTTCCCCTGATAATCTTAATACTCGTTAATTTGTTCATGGATGCGACATCAGGTCGTCCCTGACAATGGATTCTTCGCTCAAACAAACAATGGGGCTGAAACACTTTAAACTGGCGACAGACCATAATCACACAGACGATGAACTCAGACAGCATCAAACTCCCCAGCGTTCCGCATCAATAAAACATCCAATAACCATAGAGATGAGTTTTCCCAAGGTGACCCACTGAGAGCAAACGTATGTTTCTCCTGTCTACCAGTAGATGGCAGTAGTAATCTAATAAAAAGTGACCTTACGGTACAAAGGTTGACTGACAACAGGCTTAAAATTGGCTTTAAAGCTTAGCAGAGGATTATTTACTGTTGTTGTAGTGTGAATAATGTGAATACATACAAATTACAAATAGCTTTACACAAATCATATCATAACAAATCAATGTTATAAAATCTATGAAACTCTGTCACTATTATAGTTGACATTAATTCAAACAAAAGTATACTGTAAGGTTTTGCAACAGCGGATAAAAGGGTATTGCAGTTCTATCCAGCATATATATATATATATATATATACCGTATACATATACAATGTAATGTTGAACAGTGGCCTGATAGCAAATAAGTCACAGGCTTGTGTAGTGTACATTCTCGTCTTCTGTGCATTGGTTTTTCCAGTGTCAGAAATGCATCTCTGGGACTGGACTATTCGAGGGTTGTTTTTTTTAAACTGCTATCATATGTTGGATAGTGTACTTGGGAACTGACAAATCAAAGTCTTAGTGCACATTTATCTTTTGTCAGGTAGAATTAACAGATAGTTTTTAATATTGGAATAACACGTTATTTCTCTTGCTTCACACATGGGATGTACAGTACAGTGGGTGAAGATTAGCTAACGCAAATGCTTTTTTTTAGTAACTGTAAGAAGTGCGTAGTGTCGATTTAGGCCCAGCTTCACTGGTACATTAAAGAGTAATACTTAACTATAGTACCTTAGCTTGACTTTGCAGATGTAAACATTGCTAACACATTAGCATCTATTTTGACAGGATAATGTACATTTACTTCATGTCGTGTGACCACACAATCTGTGCCAAATG